CACTAAACTGCTTTTCATTCTTTAGGACAGACACCTTGCATTTAATTAACTTTCTAAATTTGAAATAGCAAGTAATGCAGTAATACTTCAATACTATTTCCTTTCTTGTTTTCTCCGTGTTTGAAGAACTCAATACAGTATAACAAATTTATCCTTGCCCATTATTACAGTGTGTATCCATGTATCTAAGTGAGTGTATTAAGATGTTCATTTCTGTATTATCTCTTTTCAGAGAAAAGAGCAGAAGAAATTCAGGGAACAGAGCACTGGGTTATGCCAATGAGGTAATTTACCTTTTGTCCATCTAGGCAGTCTCTCTCCTGGAATTATTCCAGATGTAAGCACGTTGATGCTGAGAGTCCTGTTGTGTTCATTCAGTTCTGGTTTCTGCTCCTTGTCTGGGATGTACCTGAGCACTACCATTGCTTTGGTTGAGCCAAGTCACATACATTGTCTCCTGGGCAATTTTTTTTTTCAACCTGGATTTCAAGGTATTAGTTGGCTGGTAAGTGTTTACATCAGTTCCCTGCAGTAGACAGCACACTTGCATTTTGTCAGGCTAATAGGTCCTGTCTTCCCCCGCTGCGCATCTAATATAGTTGACTCCGTTTATACAGTAAGAGACAGTACTCTTGTCACGAGTTCCCTGCAGTAGACAGCACACTTGCATCTTGTCAGGCTAATAGGTCCTGCCTTCCCCCGCTGCGCATCTAATATACTTGACTCCGTCTATACAGTAAGAGACAGTACTCTTGTCACATGTTGGCCTGACAAAAGATCACTTAGCAGACTTATTACAGCAATGCCAATTCTTCAATGCCCAAAGTCAAACACACACTTTTTTTCTTATGTGGGCAGGTGGAACACATAGTATGTATGCTTATTTCTTCCAGGTGCATCTTAGGTGCTTCTAGCACTTAGCTGCTAGCACAGATCACTCTGAATTATTTAACAGTGCTACTTGTAAGCAGATGCTAAAAATGCCTTTCAGTTTTGATGGTGATACCAGACAGGCATGTAAACATTTTTAAATGTTCAGCAAGTAAGCAGGTAAAGGAAACCCACTGTGCTATGGACAGAACAGTAACTACAGCACGTATGATTGTATGATTTTGTTCTACCTGTAGATTCAAATAAAGAAATACATCAGAATAGTACGCTGACCAGCATGTTGTTCATCAATGAGCTCAATGCACAGCAGTTGGCACTTCACTACACGCTGACCAGCATGTTGTTCATCAATGAGCGCAATGCACAGCAGCTGGCACTTCACTACGTTAGATGGCTCCCAATAAGACAAATGTTCAGTGTTGCCTCACTTTTTGCTCATCTACTGCTGGAATTCATCATATGTTGAGATTACTAAACTCAAACATCTCTACTAATCACCAACATAAACACCAGCAAAAGCTGTAAAAGTTTCTACATACTATACAGCTGTGTTGTAGAGGCAAAAGACAGTTGCCACCATTAAAAGAAGTGCTTCATTGTCTACTCTTACTTACTCACACCAGAAAACATGCAAAGCCAAGACTACCATAAAATCACACTTAGCATCACCCAAATTTCAGGGATCTGAGTTTTGATTGTGTATTTGAAATTCTTGGAGGGGTAAGGAAACAAAATAACCACGACAAATCAATATCTTCACCACACAGTTTCAGTTAAAAAAAAAAAAAGCCTAAATTCCTCAAAATCTACCTCCCAAATCAATATTACTTATGTGTATGAAAACATCAGGAACAAAACACCAAGCTACCAAAATACTCCATATTAATTCAACCTGACAAATATGCATACAGCAAACTCATATTTTGCCTACAAGACTGTACCAAACTGAAAGAAAAAGTTTACATGCTTATGGAGTTTGGCAAACTCATATTTTGCCTACAAGACTGTAACAAACTGGAAGAAAAAGTTTACATGCTTATGGAGTTTCCCTCATCAGTGAGAAATACATCACTGAAAAGTTCATAGGATCATCAAGTTTCACACTCCTGGCCAATCTCTAGTCTTACACAGCTGCAATTTGCTCCTCCAGGCTTCTGATACATTATATGAACATCTGAAAAAGTAGCCAACGCCCTTAAAAAGTAGCAAATACCCTCACAAATTCATTTATGTTACGTATAACACCAATCTGTTGGGAGGACTTGAGCAATTCACACTATCCAGTCACCATTTAACAAGGTCCAAAGATGAGCCTGTACTTTAAGTTAGTCATAGCACTCAATAAGCACCAATACAATCCTAGAAGGCTCAAGAGCTTGTACTCCTTGAAATTTGTAAAACTGCAGTGACCTTTCAGACTACTCTGAGCAGTACGCTGCCACCCCACAAACAGGCACAAGTTTTAAACAGGATCTTCATCTAGCTGTGCTCAGTATTAGTGTGGGACAACTAGTGACTTGATACAGTATGTTCTTCTTAATACAGAACACGCAACTGGGGGAAAAAGTCAACTCTCATTCAAGTTTTCAGTCTGTATTTGTACAGCTGCTGGCACAAAAATCAGATGAATGTTCTCTTTCAGAAACAGCAGCATAAACTGAAAGCTTTCAAAACAAGGGTTTACTACAATCCACTTAAGCATGTAAAGCAGATGCTGGGTTATTTTTAGAGCTACCAACATTTGTTCTCTGCCTTAACTCCCACTCCAGAAAGAAAATGGGGATGAAAGCAGTGTTTATTCTCTTACAATCCAAAATTCAGAGATCTATATGGAACTGTCCCAAAAATAATAAAGGGTTTCAATATGAATTTAATTTGACATTCTGAATTACTTACAACTACACAAAGCATGAACCCATCTCAATCTATTAACAAGACTTCAAATTTCCTTCTTCAGAATGTTAGTAATGACAACGCTATAAAGCTTTTGCTTCTTACATATAGCCAAATACTTTACTCTCTTGCTGCCAAATATAAACTTTCTTTTGAATACTATTCTAGACCCTAACAAGCACTATGGGTTGTACATGACACAATCACACACCAGAGTACCTCCAGAAATCTGATAGAAATCATTGTGCCCAAGCAAACTAAAATGATCACAAATAATCACAAAAATACCATCCTGATACCATTCAGCTTCTGCACATAGCCATTTGAAATGTTGGCAGTAGACTACTTTATCCAAACAAAAAGAGGCAGACACTACTGAAGAAATCTGAATTCAGCTGCAACTTAGCGTTTCCTACATATTTATCCTCTTCTAAGCATCTTTCATCAGAACTGAAAGAAAACACAACTCAGACTCTCAACTAAGCCTGTCTAAACTGTCCAAGAGGGTTCTCTCAGACATGTTTTAAAGCTGTTAGCAATACCAATACCAGCCAAAACGTAATTCCCAACTCTTTGATATAATCATTCTACATATATAAGTGTCTTGAAACTCAATATTCTGCTGTGGCAGCAGTAAACTTCTTTAGCTTTACTATAAAAAACTGCCAGAAGTAATTTGGTCATTGTGTTAAAGCTCCAGCTGGTGTACAGACATTAGGGAGGAAAATCTAAATCCCAGGAAGAGATGAACAAGGGAGGGGGGTGCTTCTCTTGCTGCCTTTGACATGCTTGAATGAGTGTCTTGATGGAAAAATCCTGTAGAATTTAAAACTAAGTTTTCCAAACGTATGGGGGTTGATGTTTCTTCATGGCCTTTTTTCCTTCAGCCTTGCTAGAAATTTAACAATTATAACTCTGCTGTAGCCATCTAAGGGTAATTCAAACAGATCAATGAAGAAACACTTAATTCTGCTGTATTTTGTAATAGGTCCTACGTAATTGATTGCATACTTACTTATTGC